TGATGTTACGGAAATGAGTAAATTTGAGGATCAATGTCATCCGGTGATGTATGCAACAAGCATTCAATTTGCCTCAACCTACAAGCTAATTTTGAATAAGATCATCTTGCATACACGGTGAACATCTGATATTCAGCATCAAGGTCATCTGCAGCATCGGCTTTTTGTTCCCTCTTCGCTAATGGTCGATATTCGACCGCAATATGTAAATCAGACTCAGTTTTTATTCCTTTTTTGTGAATGCAAGATACTAGTTGATTGAATTTTTTCTACTCATTATCATTGATTTTGAAAGGTAAGATTACTGAATCAACGTGGCTACAGTGCTAGTTGCTTGCCGGTGTTGTATTCTGGGAGTTGGGGTGGGGTGTTTTGGCTTGGGAGAGCTCGACATCACACGAAATTAATCGAGACAACTAATGATTAAAAGACAAATCAACGATCCAATCCTTGAAGTGTCAATGGATCCCGCAACCGTGTTTTATATAGATAAGATTAGACCGATAATTGCGCTAATCCCGTTCAGTTTCTCCTCATATCTTCTGAGTGATGTTTCTATGTTTCACTAATATTAACGGGTTCAATTCCGCCAGTTGAAACTTTTCCCCTTCGTTTCGTGTTGCATGAGCTGTATCTTGTTTTTAATCGGGCTTCCTATTATTTTTATCGTTTGAATGTTTACGAAAATTATAACTTTGAAATGTTGGGCAATCGTGGTCGTTCACGGAGGTAAGAGTCAACCTCAATAGACTACGTGGTTTGAGGCATGTACTGCACATGTCACCAAATAGGTTGCCACGGTGCGCGATGTTTGCCGAGGTGTGCATTGAGTGGAAAGAAGTAAATAGTGAAACTGAAACCTGGAATGGATGTGTGCAAACCCTGACCGAGAGACGGTCGTATAGGTCGCATTCGGCTCCCTGGATGGGGACCTCGGGATCAGTGGTTCGAGATACTGGGTGTTATGGTGAGCGTCGTAAACAGTGGTGCTCGTACATCTGCTCCTTATCTTTTCGACATTAGCCTACTGCATCTCTCCATTTTCTCTTCGACTCTGCTTCCACCTTTCCTATCTCCCACCCCTTCATTCACACGGGTAACCAAAATCGGCACACGATAATTAATGGTAGTAAACCCCTTAATTAATGGAGATGACTCTCAGTTTTCTCCATTTTGACAAATTTATATTTGCAGTCTATACCAAGTTGCATCTATTTTGCAATTTCCAGCTATCCAATGATGAATCCTGGATAACCTAATTCTATTCCTTCGTCATCGGTCAAAAGTCGCTTTGATTCTCTTTCCATTCAGAATACAACTATAGCTTTCCACATTCGACCAGTTGGAATCATGTAGGTTGTAATCGGGTGCTACACCTTATGGTGTGCTCGTTAACTGGACCTTTGGGTACAGTCTAGATTACAACGTGATAACAAATACTCCGTTCATTAGATTTCAGGTTTCTGCAGCATCTGTTGTTTCATCCTATCAAACTGAAGAATAGGTTTTGGGGCAGTGACAAACATGACTGATCACCTTTGATTTAAACGCATATTCAACCAAATCACAAAAATGAGCTCGTTTTCTTGCATTCTGTTTTGTTGGATGCTTTGTGAACTAACTCTCCACTTTTGCAATTCAGTTGAACTTTGTTCCCAATCTAGCTGTTGAAAGTGGTGATGGATTCTAATGATTCGTATTTAGTTATATAAGTCCTGTCTTATTTGTTGATTTGGTCGTCACATCTTGGCATTATTGCACCCATGAAGAAATCATGAACCATTTTTTCGTTATAAAGATTGTTGTATNCGCTGACGTAAAACAAACAAGCACATTTATAGCACATTGAATTTGTAAATCGTTGAGAACGGACATGCACAGTTACATTTACAAATTCAATGTGCTATAAATGTGCTTGTTTGTTTTACGTCAGCGATTGAGAAGATTAAACGAAATGTTAACATCTCGCGACATATGTCTTGTATCGTGATTCGTCTGCCATGCAGTCCGGAATGCAAAATTACAATACATCTTCCCGAATTCCCCTCCCATTGGCACCGACTTTTGTGTATCACAGCCTTCTCGACCACTGCATCATATTGAGTTCAAATCACAAGTATTCTCTCTCGGCCTGACCACCACACACGGTCCTGTTTTGCATGGACCCACGTTTGGCTCTCGACGACAGACTGCTTCGGTTTCTCCGTCACGTTCAGCCGACGGGGACTCAGCCTCAAGTGGCGGTGGTGCCTTGCGCGACACTGCCAGCCCCCAGTCCACCGGTGGCGGTGGAGGTTGTGTTGGTGGTTCATCTAACAAGACATCCCAATGGTTAGCTGTAGGCCTGGAATCCTCGGAGGTCGAAGTTGTGGCCATCGGTTCCGACGGCCCAGCGCCCACTCACTCATCCAATCTTGGGGCTGCACGTGGAGACGAGATCAGTCCTAGCATGTCACCTCTATCTGCTTCATCCTCAACATCAATACAGCCTCAACACTTCCGCCTAACTCACCACGAAAGTTGTGTTTTGGCTCTGCGGTTCGCACATCATGGTGATTGGTTCCTGACGACAGGCAAAGACCATCAGGTTAATGCTTGGCGAACACCCTATGGGGCTTGTCTTTTAGAGGTATGTCAGAATTTATAATTACAATACTAAGCTATTCTATAATTCACCATGTTATCATACTCCGTGACTTGCGAAGAATACTTTATTTTTAGATTTGTTTTTGAGAGAAGCACTATCACCAACCTAAGACCTTGTGGACATCATTCTTTTTGAATAACGTCAAGAGCTGGACTACTAATTAATGAAGTTGGTTTGACGCTGAATAATTCCTATGTTTTTTTCTTATTTCCACGGTCAATTTTTACATCACTTCCGTACTGTTGTATTCAGTGAGGATGTTTGAACGTTGAGTTGCAACAGTTGTCGTTGTATCTGTTCGTTTGATATTGTTTACGAGTTCCAGTTTTCTTTTCGTTCGAATACCTCAAGCTTTGAAGGGAACTCGACATCATCCGTACTGAGTGAACAGGTTTATAGAGCAAATCATTTTTATAGATAATTTGAGGTCAAAAGCTCATTGAAGTTCATCGTTCCTACCATTAGATGCAGTATCTATCACTGACCACATAAATAACTAAATGGCGTCTGATCATTCCATCTGAGATGAAAATAAAGCACTTCTTAGTTCATTTTCCATGAATAATTACATTTGTTATGTCCTAGAGGATTGATTGTTTGTTGTGTATTACATGGTACTTACTCCTAATGATAGACTTCTTTTATAGCTCTGCCACAAATAGTCTTTGTTTCGTATTGCATGGATGATGTCATCGTTGTGATTCCATTGCTTACTTTAATCCTATCCCATTTAACAGCTTGTCAATAGGTTCTTGCGGTCTGCAATAGTTATTCCTTGACAGCTCACAGTAATACTCATCGTCTTTAGAATTCGGTTTATTGACACAACACCGTTATTGTAGTTCATACCAATTCCATAACACTAGTTATACTTTTTTGATCCATCACTTGGGGAATCCTCATAAATTAAGACGTGTGAATCTGAGCTCGATTGTGCTTTTCATGCGTAAACGTAAGAGGTAGCGTTGTTAGAGAAACGATACCCCAACCTACCATAGATACCAAATATGTGGCGAATTGTGCTGGGCTAATTATCCGTTCCTTATGTTCACTGAATACCTTAGCTTGTTTGGCCAGCCGCTTTTTCCACTCTTTACACCTAGTGCTTCGGGAAAATTTGTGGCGCTTTTTATTGTTACACCCCACAACATTGCAGTTGTCACATGCGCAATAATGCCTGCAAATTCAGTTAACTGTTCGCTCCTCTGCTCGCACACTCGAGAGTGTGTGTGTTTGTGTTTGTGTGTGTGTGTGTGTGTGTGTGTGTGTTAAGATATGTATGCGTGCGTGCACATGAATTCTCAGATATCTTTATCTGTCCTGAAGCGTTGGTTTGTAAACATGTTAGTACCGATTCAGGAGCTCCATTACTGTTCATCTCATGAATGAACTACGAAAAAACAGTGGGGCAATAATTAATTCTTCATGGGTTTTCTCTCATATTCCATTTCATCACCATTGCACACCTTACTTAATAAAATGTGCATGCTCGTGCTTTAACCAATCGGCAAATTAGCGATTTGCGCGCGCGCGCACTCGGCGTGCATGCATTCGTGTGGCCGACCGGCAGGGCTCAAGAGAACGTTCGTTCCCATCTGATCCAGTTGGCGGACATTTCGTTAGAACGTGTGCACTCGCGAGGGTTATGTTGCTATGGTCATGAGTGTGTTCTCTGCTTCCCCATCAATCGCCACCCCCGCAACGTATATGGTGGCTTCAATGCTATCAAAATCGAAATAGTACGACTGCGACGACGATACAGTTGGTGTTTGTGTTACTGTTTTTCTTGTGTTGTGTTGCCGTCTGTCTTTTTAATCTTCATCCACTTGTCGAACCGGATAATTTCACAAATCAGCGCGCACGCTCGCAACTGTGCTTGTTCACGCTTGCAGATGCATTCAATCGCCTGGGAATGGAATTAAATTTAACTGACTCGGATGATTCTCGTTTGCGTGTGTTCGCCCGCTCCCTCAGTCGCTTGGCTGCTGAAACCAAACGGGCTAGTTGTGGCGCGCCTTTACGCAGGAGGGAGCTGGGAAAATGGGGCTGCTACAGATGGTGATTGTGGTGGTAGTGGTGGTCAGCTGCAGTCTAGGCAGTCAACCCTTCACTCCAGCAACCGAGGGACCAGTACTAACTACAAGCAACTAGATGGATAGATGAATGCATGAATAGATGGATAGAAGTATAGACAGATAAGCGGGCAGACACGAGCAGGTTCGTTGCCCAACGTTTGTCCCGAAAAAGCTGAATGTCTATCGATCCAAGATGTTTTAGATTGAACGACTGGGTGGGGCGGATGGTGGGTGCGGCTGGTCGTTTTTTTCTTCGTTTTTGTTTTTGTTGTACATAGTCGCGCGTTCGTTCTAAATGGTTCGAGACCTGTTAAAAGTGATTGTATGTATGCCTTTGCCCACGTGTGCACACAACTGTCGTACAACAATGTATCTCGTGCGCTTACAGAACCAACTTTGTGTCGCGTGATAGTGCGTGCGCTCTTGACAAAGCTGTGCCAAACAAATTCCTTTTTCAGCTTTGATGTTTTCTGTTTCTGCTAGTGTATTATGTTTGTTATCCTGTGAACAGCACATTTATTAATGCCCGACTAATCTGATAGGTCACGGTGCTGATCGCTATCATTGATTGGCTGCAACGAGTCGTCGTTCATGGTATGGCTCTTGACGCATGCCATGTTGCAGCGTGTACTGATCGATCTGTATTCATCGTACTCAATGTTTTTCCATCGATAAATGAAATATCTGCCATAATTCGTGCTGTAATGAAGTGAACTGTTGTAACTTGAATATTTTATGATTGTTTGGTTTTCTCGTTTCCCGCTTTAGACCAAAGAAGCTGCATCTGTGCTCACCTGCGACATCTCACCCGATGATAAATTTGTCGTGACCGGATCGGGTGACAAACGGGCCAATCTTTATGAGGTCATCTTTGTCGCCTAGCGGTCATGTTTCAATTCCGTCAACTTTATATTGCAACTCCCTCTTATGGCTCGTCACTACCAAATCTTATTTGGAATCTCTCACCCATATACACATCTCTTCTTCAGTCTATTTATTTCACTTATTCAGTATTCAACAGGCTTGTTCGTGTACACGCGTGCGAAAAACCTCAATGAAAAAAGTCTTGTCCCTCCCTCACATAGTGTGCTAGGAAGTTCCCAGACACACTGTTCAGTCATTCTGCTGATGGCTTGTTTTGGGCCAACACTGAGATGCGTACGCAGTTGATGCCAACTTCTAATTGGTCGTTCGCTTTTGATTTTAAATGGAACACTTCCATACGCAAGGCTTTGCTAATTCGGCAGTCTATACCGTCGTCATCATCATCATCATCATCGCTGTGTATCCACTGTGTGCCACCGTAAACACCATCACTCGTCTCGTTGTTGATATGTCTCGTCTTGGTTCCTCCGTCCTGCGCTCCATCCACTATTGTCAACTTGTTCGCTCTACGCAGTTGCTGCTCGCATTTGATTAGTTTCTTCCCTCTTTTTGTTTTGTTTTTCCCGAGGAAGCTCAGCAACTCCTGTTACATGATGG